GAACCACGTCCTACTGGCTGTGTTAAGGTGACTCTACCCGGCAGGAGATTGAGTTCATGTACAAGCCCGGGAACGTGAGCCGGCCGCCCCCCATCGTGACACCCCACCAGCCGCGCCTTGATTGGCAGATGTGGTTCGCGGCCCTGGGCCCCCACACGCACAGTCCCTGGTTCACGAGCCTGGTCCTTCGCCTGCTGCAGGGCAAGGAGCCTGGTGAGGCTGGGTTGGAGGGGCGGGGCCTTGATGCACAAGGGGCTGGGGCAGGGCCTTGGTGGGGCGGGACCGCGGCAGCCACCAAATGCTGAGTACCGTCCCCACCCCCCGCAGTGATCCGCCTCATCCAGAACCACGCATCTGGATACCCCTTCCACAAGCAGCCACCAACCTATGTGCGAGCTCAGCGCTATAAGTACTGGTTCTCGCAGCCTGGGGAGCAGGGGTAAGGCCGGGTGCCAAGCCAGGTACTGGGGCCCGTGGGATGCTGGGCCTGTGCGCCACCGCCACCTGAGCGCCCTGTGCTGTTGCAGACAGTGGTGGCGCCGCCAGTGGGTGGAGGAATTTTTCCCACCTGTGTCCCTGGGGGACCCGACGCTGGACATGCTGCTCAGGCAATTCGGCCTTCAGGTAGAAAGGTGTTAGCCAGGCTGGGGCAGATGGCAGGGTGGCCACAGGGTGGCCCCCTGAACTTTTCTCAATCCTGCCTCCACAGGACAAGAGCCCACCTCGGGCCCGCAGCTCCAGCAACACCCTGACCCAGGCCCTCCACTGGGTACGGAAACAGCTATCTGCCCTGGAGGCCCCCACTATCCTCTGGGGGCTCCTCCTGACCGTGGCCGCCATTAGGGTCATGCAGGCCCTACTGGGCCCCCGGTCCCCGCCTCTGGCCAGGGAGGAGAAGCACAGGCCAGCCCCCAGAGAGGACATTGCCAGCAAACAAGCTGCCCCAGCTCCCAACAACAGCAGTGGTTCCCAGACCCCCCGACGGAAAAAGTAGTTGCGTCCTATCAGCTGCACATCTCAAGGGGGTCGGGGTTCCAGCTCCTCTCTGGCCTTCTGCAGCAGGATACGGCCCAGCCACCGTGCCTTAGCCAACCGCCACACAGACCCAGGTTGGGGTGCTGCCCTTCTGCTCCCAGGGCCTACCTGTCCCCCCACACCAGCCACATTCTGTCCGAGGTCACCTTCTCACCTGATCGATGGCTCAGGAGGGCCGTGTGTGACGTGGCTCGGCGTCCTTCCCAGGACGTGGTCAGCAGGCCTGTGGGAGGCTCTTTCCCTCTGCCCCTACTGTAGGGGTCCGAGTCTGATGGCCCTGGCCCCAGCCCCTGCACAAGGGATGAGGCTGACCTGCTGAGGAAGAGGTGGAAAGATGGCCCTGAGGTCATGTCCACACCAGCCTGTCCCATCGTTCGGATCTGTGAGCCAATAAAGGCAATTTGTGCTTGACCATGTGCCTGACTTTTCCTTCCCACTGGGGAGGCCTGAAGACAGTGGGCCTACCCTGCCTTGGGTGGTGGACACAGCCCAGATGCTGTCCAGCTGATAGCTGGCCTGGCTTCGTGGGTGCCTTAGCTGTCTAGTCCTCCACATTCCCGTCTATAAAATGAATACAAAGCCCTTGCCCAGCGCTGCCTGAGGCCTTCAGCCTCAGCCTGGCACAGCCTGGCTGACCTGTCAGCTCCACACATCAAGGCTGCGAGGCCAGTGCTAGATTGTGGAACCTGTGAGGGCTGGAGGATTCCCCAGAACCCAGCCCCTTCCCACTCTTCTGCTCCCGCTTCCTCATCTCAGGGGACTGAAGGGTCAGCCCACTGGACCTTGCTTAGGCGGGGTGAAGGAGGAGGGGAGGGGAGGTGGGAAGGGCAGGCATGGGCACCATGTCAGGAAGCTTGTCAGGCCCCTGGCAGAGCGGAATGGGGTATGTGTGGGGAGAGGAGCATGGAACGGAGGCCCTGGGCCAGGGGCAGAAGAGGGAGGATGCATCTGACCACCTGTATTCTGACCATTTCCTGGGAACAAGAGTTGAAAGCACGGTCCAGGTTTCTGTTTGGGGATCAGTTGTCAATCAGGAGGTCACGGCCCTCCCTTTGCCTGGCTCTGTCTTCAGCTCCCACCCCTCATGCTTTCACCTCACAGACCCCTAGACGGCCCCTCAAGGTGCCCAGCTCCTCTGACTGACCCAAGTGGCTGGAGCTGCATGCTCAGCCTGTGCCCACAGTCACACACGGCTCAAGGGGACCTATGACTGAGCTTTCCGATGCTCTCACACATGATTAAATCATCCACAAGCTGACTTTTTTGCTCAAGCCTGTATAGCTGGCCATCGTTCCTCAGCATCTGCAGCCACAAACTCCACCAACCGCAGGTTGAAAAGAACCGAAAAAAATTCCATGAAGTTCCAAAAAGCAAAACTTGAATCTGCTGCACAACCAGCACCTAGTTGCACAGTATTTACATTGTATTAGGTATTACAGGTAGCCTAGAAGTGATTTAGGGCATATGGGAGGGTGTGTGTAGGCTTATGCAAGCACTATTCCATTGTATACTATGTACTTGAGCATCCACAGATTTTGGTATCTGGGCGGGGATTCCTGGAACAAACCACCCTGGAATACAGAGAAACGATGGTAATATAATGAAACATTAAAACCTGTTCTTTTTCTTAAGCTTTTGAGCTTAGTGTGTGAATCTGCCTTTGGGGTTTTTGTTTTGTTTTCTGTAACAGCCTTCCTGAGATACAATTCATATGCCTACAATTCATCCACTCACAGGGCACAATTCAGCAGATACAGGGTTGTGCATCCATCACCGTAGTCAATTGTAAAGCCTTTTTATCAACTCGAGAAGAATGCCTGTTCCATGTAGCCGGCATCTTCTGCCCTGCTCCTTCCCATGCCCTAGGCAACAACTAATCTACTTTTTGCCCGCATGGAGTTACCTGTTCTGGACACTATAGGTAAATAGAATCATACAATTTGTGCCCTTTTATGTCTGGCTTCTTTCGCTTAGCATAACATTTTCAGAGTGTCCGTATAGTAGCAGGTGCCAGAACTTCGTTCCTTTTTATGGCTGAATAGTATTCCATTATATGTTGATACCGCATTTTGTTCATCCATTGATCCATCAATAGACATTTCAGTTTTCCCCTCTTGGCTGTTGTGAGCAGTGCTGCTGTGCACATGGGTGCACAAGTATCTGTTTGAGTCCCTGCTTGCACTTCTTTGGGATACATATCTAGGAGTGGAATTGCAGGCTCATAAGGAGATTTTATGGTTAACTTTTTGAGGGGCCACCTAACTTTTCCACAGCAGCTGCACCCTTTCACGTTCCCTCCAGCAGTGTCCCAGGGCTCCCATTTCTTCACATCCTTACTGACACTTGTTATTTTCCCTTTTTTGACAACATCCATCTCCTTATAGTGTCCTTTGACACGCAAAAGTTTTTAGTGTTTATAAAGTCCAATTAATTTTTTTTATTGTCTGTGCTTTTGGTGGCATATCCAAGAAATCATTGCCAAATCTAAGGTTGTGAAGAGTTCCGCTTATATTTTCTTCTAAGAGTTTTATAGTTTCAGCTCTTACTCTTAGGTCATTGACCCATTTCAAGTTTATTTTTGCATATAATGTGAAGTAAAAGTCCAATTTCATTCTTTTGCATGGAGATATCCATTTTCCCAGCACCATTTGTTGAAAAGACAATTCTTTCCCCCATTGAATGGTCTTGGCACCCATGCTGAAAATCAACTGACTGCATATCTAAGGGCTCTGTTACGGAATGTCTGTTCTGGTCCATGGGTCTGTACATCTGTCTTTATGCCAGTGTCACACTGTTTGGATTACTGTAGTTTTGTAGTAAGTTTTGAAGTTGGGAAGTCTGAGTCTGCCAGCTTTATTCTTCTTTTTCAAGACTTTTTGACTATTTGGGGTCCCTTGAGATTTTAGAATGGATTTTTCTTTTATTTCTGCAAAAAAGTCCCATTGGGATTTTGACAAAGATTGCATCGAATCTGTAGATCACTTTGATAGTACAGTTGACCCTTGAGCAATGCCAAGGTTAGTGGTGCCGACCTCCATGCAGTCAAAAATCCAAGTATAAGCTTAGAGTTGGCCATCCACACCCAAGGTTCTGCATCCATGGATTCAACCAGCCAAGGATTGTGTAGTACGGTGGTGGTAGCTAGTGGGGAAAATCCACATATAAGTGGAACCTTGCAGTTCAAATTGGCATTGTTCAGGGTCAACTGTATCGTCTTAACAATGGTAAGTCTCCCAGTCCATGTACTTTTATTTTCTTCTATTTGAATCTAGCCGGTTTTAGCAATAACTCTCAAGGGTTCCACTTATAAATTTTAAATGCCTAAAATATTTTAACTGCTTTACAAATTTAACTTGAATTTATTTTTTAACTGCTCAGTTATCTGACCTAACAATCTTTCCAAGCTTCAAAAAAAAAAAACCGTAAATAAATAGACGTACAAATGCAGTGAGCCAATGATTCTCTTGAATGTCCCTATACCAGGAATAAACTTACTAAGATTGACCAGGGGCAAAGCTGTGCCACAGCCCAGCCTGGCGAGGACACAGGGTGCCTGGATCCAGGGAAGACTGACTCCCAGCTTCAGATGCGGAGTCCAGTGTGGCTATAACATGGTCCCATTGCTGCTGGTGAGTGCCAGGGCTCTCTCTTTCTTGCCTCCCACCCAGACTCCTGGAAGGGCAGATCCCCTCCATGGGAGGAGTCCCAACACTGGAAAACCTGATGCCCACCCCAGGTGCCTGGCCCCTGATGAACCCATCTTTCTGATTCACACTCCGTCCCCTTGACACAGCGTTCCACTGACACAAGGCAGTCACTCACTATGCCTCCCTGACCCTAACCCTGGCTCGTGCCAAAGTCGGAGGCCCCCAGGTCTACTCCTCTTCCACACCCACCCCTTCGAGCTCAGCACAGCCCCGTCTCAAAATTCCGCATTTCCCACAGTGAACTGTGAAGTTAGCCACCAAAAGAGACAAAAAATTGATCCATGTTTGAAGGACAACAAAGGAGAAGATGCCTGTTACGCTTGTTCCTGCAACAATCCCCAGCTGGTGTTTAGGGCCTCCTCCACCCGCACCGTTTAGAGGCACCTTGTTACCAAAACAAGCTTGGAAAATTAAGCCAATCTGCGACCTGGTTGTGGTGAAGGAAAGCGCAGCGTTTACTGCAGGTGCCCAGCAAGGAGTCCAGGCAGCTGGCGCTCAGAAGGCCTGAACTCCCCGAAGGCTTTCAGGGAAAAGTTTTTAAAGACAGGGTGAGGGCAGGAGCTGTGGGCTGTGTGATCAGCTGGAGAACACTCTGATTGGTGGGTAGTGAGGTCTTGGGGCGTCAGCAGCATCAGCCTTCTGGTTCCAGCAGGTCTGGGGTCTCCGGGCTGGTGAGCAGCACAGTTAACTTCCTCCGCCTGGTGGGGGCTTCAGCACCTGCAAAGCAGCTCAAAGGATGGGGCTCAGAGTATGATCCACAGACCCTGAGGAGGAGCTACAGGTCCTTGACTTTGTTTAATAGCTAAACTATTATTATTTTGTCTTGCTGGACTGTTTTCCTTTCTTTCTGTGTTTTCTCACTTCTCTGATTAAGTGTACTCTTTGGAACTCAGGGTGGCCTATGAGGCTAAAGTTTTTCTAGAAACCAGAGGCAGGCAGAGGACATGGGGGCCAAGGGGGGTCTGTCCTGGAAAGGCCCCAGAGGGTCCTGCTTGGTGACAGTCTGAGCCCTCGGGCCCATCTGCAGAGGGCACTGTGTCTTCCACTGACCCTGGCCGCTGGGCCTGGCGGTTTTCGAGCATCCCGGGGTCTCCTGGAGCTTGTTCCGCATCCTCCAGCCTCTCAGTCGCCCGCCAGCAGCCCTTTCCCGGTGGGGGTCCACGCCAGCCACACCTGCGCGTCCAGTGGCGGAGGTGCTCTAAACCGTGTCCCACTCAGAGGAGATGCTGCTGTGTCTCTCGGAGGAGGCCCTGCTTCCTCAGGAGCCACAGTCCACATGCGGCATCACCCGGTCACTGGGACAGGTAGCCACAGCCTCGCCTCGGGTGGCAGGTGTCAGAGTGAGAGCCGCTCCCCTACAGACACCAGACTGTTCGGGGCTCCCTGCCGGGCATTTTCCGCAGCCCGACTCCCAAGGGCAGTGTCTCTGACCTGGCACCAGGGCCGGGTCTTCGGTGGTCCCTGCACCACTCACTCCCTCAGATCGTTGGTTTGGGGTCGTGGGGTGTACGGGGTCCTGTGACACCAGCCTCTCCTTTAAGCAGAGGCAGTGCTGCGCAGGTCCCTCAGTGAAGGGCGTTTGTGAGTCAGTGGACGGCGGTGCTGAAGGGAGCATGGGGTGGGTGGCAGGTCCACACACAAGGGGGTCAGTGGTGACAAATTGCCGCTCACTACATGGGAGGTCCCTTTGGGAGAGGCCACCTGC